CTTTATTTACAGTATACTCCTTTGTTTCTTTAAAATTGGGGGTAGGTTTTAGGTATTACAGACTCGATATCTAAAATAAAACAATAAAAATTAATATCGTAAACTGCAAAGAATTGTCTTATTGTAATGAAGACCTTAAAATTATATTTAGATTTTTTATCATAAAGAAAAATAAACAACCAAATAGTAGGTATGTATGCATTGGTTACTTACTTATTGATTCCTCGGTAGTCACCGCTAACTGAAGTATTTTATGAGTTCGATTACAATATGTCATGATAAATAATTGTTTTGGCACTCTTATATCACCAGTAAAATAATAAAAGTTAGTCAAATTCTGCACTTCGAATGTTATTATTTGCATACAATTCAAATTAAATAATATTTTTAAGGTTAGAAAACCAATCGCTTTTGACAGATAAAACTCATTAAGTCGCCTTTGTAAAAGAATGTTAACGTAGACAATTCACTATGTTACTTGATGAGTTTTTGCATCTCTACGAACTGGTAAAATGACTTAATGTGAATTTTCTATCTTTGTTTGTGATGACTTAGTAAGTTTTTATAATCAGAACTAATGTTAATACGGTAGAATTGAACTAGACTTAGTAAAATATGTAAATATCTCAAAACATGTAAATTTTGACTTTGAGTTGTTGCACCAAGCCCACGATATTAATTTATCTATGATTTTGGCGTATCACCAATCGTGAATTTTGGCGTGTAGAGAAATTACTATAAATTTATATTTCATTATTCATTAACTTTTCCAACCCTTTATCAAGGCAACAATAAATATAATTATTTGTCAATTATGCTTTTTAATTTTTATTTAAAATTTTACAATAAAGGAAAATAAAACAATTAGGCACATTAAAGTTTATTACTATTGACTATACTACTCTACTATTGACCATCTTAGCATTCACACACGGAACATTTTTGAAGTCACCAGTATTTTCCACAACCTGAAAAGTGTCTTTTGTGATAGTCACTAACCCACCATTATTTTTTATATGGACTAACCTGCTAAATTCCCCAACGGAAGCATAAGAATGATTGGATGGTGGCTTAAATAAACATTGAGTATAATGTAAACCACAGACCACTAATAACTAGACGTTTCACATAGGTAGCTCAAGGTCAAACCAAACTTAATGTCAGTTGTAGTACCGATACGAATCTTCAGATGTCGCTTTACTCTGTCTTTACCTTTACTCTACAGTTTAGGTTTAGAACTAGAACACAACTAAGAATTATAATTGTCAATCGCCAATTGTCATATTAGCGTCTATATTTTGATTTTGTTAAATTGTAAATTACAAATCCCCTACCTCAGTGATATGTGTTTTAAATGTTCCTGGTGGTGTTCAAACAGTATTTTGCAGATTAATAATAATTAATTAAATGGTTCTTCACAATAAATGTTGTATCCTACAATGTACCAATTCGTCATTAATTAGACATGCCTTCCCAAAGCCTGATAAAGACATTACACGATTTAGGAAGTGGCTTAGTGTTACAAATAATCCTAATTTAGATATGATGAATGCTAGTACAGTTTTTAAAACAAAATGAGTCTGCAGTACACTTTGAAGATAAGTTTGTTTCTTGATGGAGTCATAAATTGTATAAAAATGCAAATCCTAGCTTACATTTGTATGGTGAGTCCATTTGTATGGTGATCATATTATTCAGTAGAAGAGTTTCTTAACGAATAGTGCTATGTACAAGTAACTAAACTATTTGTATAAATATATATTTCAGTATCACATGCTGAAACTTAAATGTATTAGTTCGTAAGGATTTATTAAGCAATTTATTTAAATTTTAGAATACATTGTGTATTTTATTATCTTTTATTTTCTGATATTGACGATTTATGTAATTTCAGTAAATTTTAAATTGCTATTTTTCTGACTTTTTGTAAGCTTTGTCCATAAAATTGTACAATTTTCAGTGGTAATAGCATATTTTTATTCTATTCTAAATTACAAAGTTGTTTTACAAGTGTTAAATAAATAAATAAATTACATTTTGTTTTATTTTTTCCTACATGGTATTGTGTATATTTGAATTTAAAAATGTCAAATGCATTTTTTTTTTTCAAATATATTAAATTATATTTAAATATTTTAAGCTTGATTTAAATTTTCCCACCAAAATTAAAATTTGAAATTCCCGCGTAATTTCCCGGTTGAATTAGTTCCGATACGAATCTTATGGAGCGCTGAATTTCATATCCAACCATGAGTTAGTATATACTGAAAATCCAACTAAAGCATTGTCGTGGAACATCTAGGAGGTAGGTGATCTGTGATGTAAACACTTCAGTTTGCGAATAATTTTCCTAATAATAAACCCGCACATAAAAAACTAATAATATAATAAAGGACACACTTCTTTAATTTAAACAATAATTGGCAACAGGAGAGGAAGGAATATATTTATTATTTAAAAATACACTTGTATAAGTAAAAATGATTTGACCAGCAGATTTATCTTATATTACTTAAAACCACTCACATAATATTTCATACAACTATCATGAGAAATTTTTAACATTGTTTACATTTTGCCCCCTTATTTGTGTCTAACTAGCAAATAACACGCGCGCTAAACTTTAAAAAATCGGCTTCACTTATTGTCCTCGGCATCTATGACTTATTTATTCTGTGGCTATGAGTCGAGTAGACCTTTCAATTTTCGTCGAAATCACAGACCCCTAATAACATGGACATATAAATAAAGACGTCCATGCCTAAATAACGATTTGTGGTCGAAATCGTATGTGGCCACTTCGTCGTTCCGAAATTGCCGAACACGACTTTTCATAGGCGGAGGTATTTTTGAAATAAATAAACATGAGATTGGACGTAAATTGTACATAACACTACATTAACACAAGGACAAACGCTTTACGCTCTACATTCTTGTCGGCAACCGGAGAGAGAATGGTGACCAGACCAGAACCGGAGAGACCATTCTCTCTCTGGCTGCCAACAAGAATGTAGAGCGTAGAACAATTTTTAATAATTTAAAACTGTCCTTGTGTTACTGTAGTGTTATGTACAATTTATGCCCAATCTCATGTTTATTACATTCTGCGCTTGCTGGATAGCCCAAATTTGATGAAATGCCTCTGATGATGCTGTAGAAAGCGAAAGTACTTGGGCAAGATTTGATTATTAAATTTGTGCTCGATATTTGCCTTAATTTTTCAAAGTTTATTTATTCGAGCATTCAACCTCATATCAATTAATTAGGTATTAATTGAATTTTACTTTTTATTTCAATTTTAAACCTCAAAACCAATTTAAATTAGTATTTTAAGGAAAGGTGAGATCTAAATTAGTAAACAAGAATGCTAAATATGCATAGTTATTTCAGTAATTGTATTATAATTATTAATTTCACTCACATACCATAATGATTTGCCAGTGGTGGTGTGTTGGGTGTTAACATTCCATAAAATTTTACAACTAAATAAATAAATAAATTTCGTTAATTTTGATTCCCAAATATTTGTATAAAATAAAATAAATTAAATAAAACATTTAATGTAAAAAATGTCTCATTTTAAATAGGAATTAGTCAATCCTTAAAAATACCCAAAAGATATGCCGCTAACCACTTCCTCTGGTGGCAGTTTGGCTTCACTTTTAGCGATACAGTTACATGTCCTCTCTCTTTCCTGAATGAAAAATTAAAACTTTTAATGTGCAAAAGGACAACAAACTAAACTAGGGACAATATTTTTGTATGATTCATCTGCATTATGAAATCTATTACAGAAATGTAAACCGAACATAAAAACTAAGATTAATATTATTGTAGAAAATATTATCAAACTTACTGTTCTATAAACCTTGTCCATTTTTGGTTGTGTCGAGCTTTGTACTCCGTTTATGAACTTATCATCAGATAAATAAACAATATAATTATAGATACTTTATTGTCACCTACCTGCCATCAAATATTCTTTCGAGCCACTCATATATTTGTTTTTCTGCCTTGTCCTTTTATTAGCTTCTTTGTTTGGTAAGATCTACTATTTTTTCCATCGTCTATTGAATCTATTAGTTACACTATGTTCTTCTAGAATGTTGGTCATACATGTTCATGAAATAATTTTCATGTTTTCTCAACATCTTCAGTTGCTCTCATTTCTTTCATGCAATTGTTGATATAATTTTCAATGACATCTAAAATGGTAAAATTTTTGTGCTGCTTTCCCTCTTTTTGTTTTACCTGACTCTTACATCAGCTACTAAAAGGGTTGTGAACAGACCCGATATCTGCTCCAAGATATCCTACCTCTACTGAGGGAGTTCTTAAATATTTTATTGATAAGAATGTAATCCATCTGATTATATTCTTAGACCTATAATCATGATGTAGGTCTAGAACTTTGTATTTGTATAAATTCAGAATTGTACCACACATATCAACCACAATTTTATTACCATTAGATTATAATTACATACAATTTATACAGAATTAATATATACTATAATTATTTATACATACACTATATATATTATGAATTACAATGTTATTTATACCTGCTTATAGATTTTATAAAATATAATTAACTATGTTTGCATTGGTTCAGATTCATCCTCTCTTTTCCGTTTCAATATCGCTGAAGTTTCAAAATCCATTTCAGTTTTAATTGGTGGTGCTATTTGTACATTTTGTGTAATCTCTATTTTTGGTTTAAGTAATGTCTTTTGGGGTTGTGCCGTAATAACTTTTGTAATTGGTTTTGGTATAGTAACAGTCTGTTTCGAGATTGTGGGAGTGGTTCTCTTTAAAAAGTTTATGTTAGCTTTGGGAGTCATTTTTAAGGCTGGGCTACCAGCCATAGAAAAGTTTCCTTTGCCTTTCTTGGAGCTCTTAAGGGTGTAATTGCAAGATGACAGGCAGTATCTGTCAGGAGGTAGTCTTAGGCCACAGTGGCGTTTGACTTGTGGTAAATGTGAATAATTTTTAACATGAGCAAGTTCCATAAGTACTTCTCTCGGTGGAGGTGTCGTGAAAGTCGATTCACAGGTTAATTGCAGGGCTAAACGGACATCATCCACTCCCAAAAATTTCTGTTTTGAATTATTGGAATACATTCTAGCCTCTTCAAGTATGGATGTTGCATACCTAAAAATAAAGAATATTTTTAGTAATCAGTAAATGGTGATTTACAGTACATTGTACAAGTCTCTAGAAATGTTATTACCAATTTAAAACATTTACCTATAAACAAATTCTGTGAGCTGTACAATTGTTTTGGGTTCATAATCTGTTATACCCATTTCTTTCATAATAGCCATTATTACTTGGCCATCTTTTGGAATGTGTTTTGATTGAACAGCTTTAGCTTTTTCTTTCTCAGCCATAACTTCTATATTCTTGAAAATAATTAATTAAATGTTTGGTAAGATTTACTTACAACACACAACAAACCAAAAAAAAATATGTGACAAATGACAAAATGACAAATGTAAATAAATTGCAGGTTTCTTCTTTTACCTCGGTGATATCCGTGGCCTTTTGTTAAATTTCTCTTTTGAAAAACTATTGATATTATTTCTGTATTGTTGATTGTCTAATTAGAAGTAGAAACTGTGTGTAATTCACGCATCGAGCAATAAGACAAAAAGAGGGAATCTAATCGTTATAAAAAGGAGACCAAAAAAGTGGCCTCTGATGGCGGACACATCCGGAAATGCAAAGGCGCCAAATTTAAATTTTTCGACACTTATCAACAGTAGCTATATAATATTTTTCAAAATGTGTTTTAGACGAGAAAGTTTTAATTAATTATTAATGATAAGAGTCTAAAATGCGACACAATTGTTAAAAAACTTCAATATAAATAAGATTTCATGTGACATTTGGGACAAACAATAACATAACCCAACTAAATTTGATGTCAAACAAGGAGAGAGACTCTCTATCCTTGTCTAAAGTGGCCTTTCAAGATGGCACTTCCTGTCTATCAATATGTTTACCCCTTCTACCTTTACATTCCCTCTTTTGTCTTATTGCTCGATGAATTCACGCTACACAAGTGTATCGTGGAGTAACTACTAATGTTGTCAAATTATTAATATTATTAAATGCTGTTATTATATATTCTTTATGAACAAACTTTTTCAAGCTATTAATTTATATACAGTATACGTAGTTTGTTAAATTTAATTCCTTTGACTTCTGGCCAGAATTGGACTGCGAGAGCCACTCTAATCACTGAGAACGTATCGGAGAAGACAATAAACTCCCTAAACTGGAAACATAATAGATCCTAGATATCACAGTGTTACTTCTTCCCTAAAAATCACTACCAGTAATAGTAGAGAGATAGATATGTGGAGACAAACAACAGCATAATTGAATTTAGGACGTATAGGTACATAATATGCAACTGTTACAAAAAATATTCAGATTTCTAGATGAATAAGAGAAGCCATTAAAAACTGTAAAACTGTGATGGTGAAGATGAATAAGTGACTCCGTGATCAACAGCACAACTAATTTAGAATAAACACATGCAGTCACAGTTTATGTAGATTTCTTAATAGATTTCTAAACTAACAATGAAACCGAAGATAAATTTATAAAAATGTGAAACCCACGTACCGGAAGAATTATATACATACATTATAGTATTTATCTTAATTATTTGATGTTTATATATAAAAAGTGCCAATAAAATTTGTCATTTTAAATTTTTTCAGATAATTATTAACAAATCATAAAAAAAGAAGTAATGCTGGTAGTAGCATTAGTAGTATAATACAATTAATTTGAAGTTGTATTGAAATGATTTCTAACCTAACCTAACTCTAACTTTGGGCATTTCGCAATTGCGGGCACTCTAACCTAACCAAGCATTTATATGACATTTAACGTTGGCTTAAATGGTGTCAGAGTTGCCAAGTCTCCAGTTTTTTCATACTCTCACATAATATTATACAAATGTTGATTAAAGTGATATACACTTCATCTAATTTATATAACGATACACGTCATCGGCGTCATAGCCTGTGACGTCACATGATACCAACACAAAATTTTTATTGTGTAAGTGTGTTCTTTTTTAGAATCACTTTACCGAGTACACTGGCATTACAGCCACTAGACATATTTTATTATATACGCGTAGAAATAATATTTAAAAATTTCTATTAATGTTAACTTAAAGAAATACACAATAATATGTTTCATTTAATTTGTATAAATGCATTTTAAATCGTTTTTATCAAGAGGATTTGTTCGGATCACACTGTAACTGTAATCGAACGAAGGTAAAATTTTGGCATAAATTGGTAACACTTATTTGACAGTTGCGGTGTTGACAATTTTGTACTTCATAATTTTGAATTTTAAATTGAATATCTCTTGTTTTATATTTTTAACTATTTAATAAAATCTGTTCTTTTTAGAACAAAATTAGTGTGTTTTATTTAAAAAATGTCACGTAAGAATTTAAATAGTCGTTGTAAGGAGATGGTAATACTTTTGCAATAATTATGTAATCTATTTGATTTAAAATGGAGTCAGGATTTTTTTATATTTTGGCAACTATGTCAACTTCGATCTCTGACGTAGATAATGACGTAAGTCGTTATCTAAATTAGATGAAGATATAAAAAATTAATAGTATAGATTTTAGTTAAATTAAAGATGATAATCAAATGCATATACAATAAAATTAATTAAAATTATATAAAAAATTAATAGTACTAATTAAATTACCGTATATAATAGAAATGCATTGAAATTATATAAAAATTCAAAGATTTTAGTTAAATTAAAGATAATAATCAAATGCATATACAATACAACTGATTAAAATGATATAAAAAATTTATAGTAATAATTAAATTACCGTATATAATAGAAATGCATTATAATTATAATTTCGTAAAAGTAACTTATATTTTAAACCTTCATATACATTTTACAAAAAAATACGGCAAGTTTTATGCTTATTTAAAATTTGTAGCTTCTCATAACACAAATTATTATTTCGTAAAAGTAAATTTATATTTGTAGCATTCATATACATATTTTACTAAAATAAATACGGCAACACTGTGACACAGTGCCTTGAGGAAAATATATTTGGTTAGGTTAGAGTGCCCGCAATTGAGAAATGCCCCTGCCCCTAACTTTTAATAATTTTGATAAGCATTAATTATTATTTATGATTTAATAATTTGATTAGTAAATATGGAATTTGGAGACTTAAAGAATGATATAGTTATTCAAGAGAAGCTGACAAATTTCCACAACAGTGTAGAAAAAATAGAACTCATGCTCGAGAAACTTAAGTCTGCAGATGTTTATGAACAATTATCTGTATCCGAAAAAGTAGATTACGATTTATTTGTAGCTTACACACTAAATACTTTGTACTGGTTGTACCTGAGAACTCAAAATGAAGATCCGAATAAGAATGAGGTGAAGAGCCAACTGAATAGAATTAAAGAATATATGGTCAAAGCTAAACAGGTAGGTTGAAGTAGTTCTACATATTGTTGTTTATAGTCGTCATGTAATTATGGTGTATTGTATATTATTCTCTTATTGTTATATCAATTTCATCATTTCTTTTATCCTTTCCCATTAATTCTAAAAACTATTACACACTAAGGAAATTTTATAACTTTATGGTGATTTTTAGGCCCGTGAAAGGCACACCATCAGACCTAGAGTAGACAAGCCTGCAGCAGAGAGATTTATCAAGCATGGAATTAACTACAGTAGAAGTGAAGACAATACACCAACTCTAATCAAAAAGATTCGATTTGAGGACTGAATTACTGTGTCTAGCAATTTTATAATGTTTTATTATAAAGAATTTTTTATAATTGTATAAGTTTGGTTTTTTATAATTGTATAAGTTCCTTAATATTTTAAGGAAAGTATTTGGTTTTTATCAGTTGTGTTTACAGCTATGCACGAAATTCCTCTTCCCGTTCTCATTTTTTTAAATATTGTATACTATGATCTTTTTGGATGGCTTACTTTTTGCATTGGTTTCCATTTGCTAATTTTATGCATCCATGTCCTATTGTTGACTATTCTAATATGATTGACTATCTTAATTACTCCTGATACTGTTTGCTCTCTTATTATTTATAATTTGTTTTGCTTTGGATTCTTTATGTCTTTTCTAGTGTTCTATGACTATGAAATTGAACTTTTGTTAAATGTTAATATTTGATGTGGATATATCACTATAGTGTATAATATAATAACAGATTCTTTTGCGTTGTTCTTTTCCTAATAGTTTCTTTGTTTTTGTATATATTTTTGTTTGCCACTTGTTACATCATTTCAGTCAATGAGCCAAACTAAATCAGATCTTGTTTCATTTGATGCAGCCACCTCCTTCAATATCATTTGTATGGCCTATCAGTCTATCTCTTTACCGATTAAACACATAAAAAATGTCTAAGAACCACACAGTTTTTTCTCATATATACACCAACATTGATTGGATTTTAAAAAGTGACATACCATTGTAATGCTTAATTAGTCAGTAATTAATTCATCTTAATTTCAGAGTATTCTCTATGATGACGAAATAATCAAACAAAAGTTAAGAAGTGTTCTAAGTTCATAGAAATTGTTAACATAAGTCAATATATAATATAACAATTCAACAAAAAACATGTTTAATAAGATCCCTTCTTATTTAAGAATATCTTGAAGACCTTGTTTAGCATGAAGATTGTGCAGATGAGGAGCAATGTGTCTGAAGCATATCCCAAACATGTTAGATGGTATTAAGAATTGGCGATTGAGCTGACCATTGTAAAAGTGGTATACTCTTATTGTGAAAAGAATCTTACTGTTGCTGAAGTATGTTGCCTTGCATTCAGGACCTGCAAATGGAAGGACAACAGGTTCTAAGATACACTCATTCTATTAATATCGGTTTAAAATGCATTTCACAAAAACAGGAAAAGTGTGGTGATAAAAAAATTATTCCAGCCCAGACCACTATATGGACAAACCATGAGACCACAATTTCTATGATGTAACATGAGCTGACATAGAGGCTAGCTTTATGTTATCTATTCCTCAAAATTTGATCACATACAGTAATGCTGTGGGTATTTTGTAAGGCCCCACAGAGTTCATGTGCAGTTACATGCACATTTCAAGAAGCAGATCCTACCACATAATGATCCTGTCAAGGAGTAGTTTCATGTTGACTTCCATGTCTAACAGCAACATTACCAATTGTTCATATTGACGCCATATTCATGCTCAGAGACACGTCAAAATCATGTAATCAGTAATCAGTAAGTGAAAGTCCAGCCTCAATCATATTCATAGCACTTACCACTTGAACATGTATTAAATGCCAATGTTCCATGAGTATCGTTGTATTAAATAATCTTGTTATAGTAAATACGGACTATCTTTCAAATTCCTTCTTCTTCTTCCTCTTTGTTAGCAATTCTGCTTGTTCATTAGCAGAATACTATATGTAATGTTTCATAAAACAATTACTCAATAAATAACACACATTTCAAAAATATATCTCTGGAATAAGTATAAATAACTTTTAATAACACAATAGTATATTACATCACTTACATTTAACAAACAATCTCACACATATCTCAAATTCATTGGATCAAATCTATCTCCTCAAGAACTTCCCGTTTTACTGTCAAACAACTGCAATAATAGTATTGAGTTCTCCATTCAACAATATAAAGTAGTTTCAAACATGTTCTACCATCCATCTATTAATAGAGTACCGGCATGTAAGTAATGTTTATTTTATTTATTTATTTGCTCATTTATTAATTTATTACAATAGAAGAGATTTTATAACAATTTGTGGGCCTTACCTTGTCTGTTTAACCTTTTTAAAAAAAATTTTATACCTTTTATTCAACTCAATCATTTAAATAAAAACCACAGACATGTAATATTGGCATAATTATTGTAATTTATAACATCTAATTTGTTTATCTTTATTAGACAACACCCTAATATGGGTTTTTATCATTTCAGCATTTGTTTAACTTTGTATCGAGACCTGAAGGTGCTTTGCATATTGTAGAAAGCGAAACCGGTCGTCTGATAGTTAAATTAAATTGATTGTGAGTAAGTCTTATTTATTATTTCTTTACCTATTTTAAGGGTAGTATTTAACAAGTAGGGTAGACCGGGGACAATTAAAACATTTCTGCATTTGGATTTTTTTCTCCGCATCTATCGCAAATTTCTAAATTACGAAATTAGTTATAAAAAGCGTATCCTATTGTGTTTCCATATATATCATTATATTTTGTCTATATAATGTCAATAAGATATTAAATAAAAACTTGAACTTGTCAAGTTGTTTCAATTGTCCCCGTGGCAGGGACGAATGAAACAGTGGGACAATTGAAACAGCACTAAGACATAGAAAAATAGTGTTTATTCTAGTGAAAAACATACAATATAAAATATTTTTTATTCTGAAAGGCAATTGTGGCATACGTATAGTTCTTCTTGGCGAGTACACTCTTCATGGGACCAATGACGACACTCAGTGCACTGCACCCATTTCTCTCCTAGGGCGACTACTACGATATGCTTCCAAGCAAACCAGACAATAGCAATCATCCTCTTCGTCGCTATCACTCTGTTGCTGATTGTTCTGGCATTGTTTGGTTTTCTTGTATTTTCTAAAAGTTGTATTTGATTCGTCGTTTAACTCAGTCACTTTTTTCTTAACCTGTTTTTTCTTTTTTGCATCATATTCCTCTTGGATAGCATTTTTCTGCAGCGTATCTGTATAGACTGCAGACTTCCCCCTTTTCGCTTGTCCATTGTTTTTCTAGGGAGCGCTTTCGGTAACGGTCTAACTGCTTCTGGTGAAAATACAACCTGCGATGCTTGAGAAATGCAAGTGCTTGGAGACGCTAGCGGTGTGTGATTTTGTGGTGATGTTGGCAAGATATCAGCTCTCTTAATATGTAGAGGATCTTCACTAGGTGCTTCTTGAAGAACGTCAGTGGCATATGGTGTCGTGTTATTAAGAGCTGGTCTATCCGTGACATATGAAGGTGCAAAATCTAGTTCCGTCTGGAAAGACAAATGTTGCACATAAGGAAACTAATGGAAAAGAAGAGAAACGAGTGGATAAGAGAGAAAACAAAAGTGAGGGATGTTAGACAAGAAGTTGCAAAATTGAAATGAAGATTTGCCGGACACAATATAAGACAAAAAGAAGACCGATGGAACAAAATTCTTATAAGTTGGAGACCGTGGGAATATAAACGGGAATATAAACGAAGCAGAGGAAGGCCCCAAATCAGATGGGCAGATGATATCAAGAAGCACGTGGGCTCTAGATGGATGACTGTAGCGACAGACAGAGAAGAATGGAAAAGGATTGGGGAGGCCTATGTCCAAAGATGCACCGAAGAAGGCTAATTGTGAATATGTCTCTGTTAAAGGGATATATGCCTGTGCAAGTAAAGGTTAAATTCCGAAAGTGGCTGCAGACCGCAAACCGCTGACTGCAGCGACAGTGTCGTCTGCGGTCAGACCTATTCCGAGCAGAATTGCACTGCATCTACAAAACAGCGACAATAGCATTGCACGTTGGGAATTGATAATAGTATAATACTAAAAGTCGTATACTCCTAAAAACGCGTTCATGGAAAAGAACAGCAGTAAATAGAGATGTTTGGAGAGGTTTAATGAAGGAGGCCAAGGCCCGGCTTGGGCTGTAGTGCCATTGGATGGATGGAAAAGTCGTATAAGTAGGATGTCAGACGCAATGAACAACGATGAATTAATGTTATATCTTTTAATGGAAGAAGAAGATGACGACGATCTTTTACTTTTGCATTATAAAAGAAAAAGGAAGCCAACTAGGTCTCTATTTAAAAATAGACAATTTGAAGGAAGTTATTCAATACTCATCAAAAATCTCATCTTCTTCATTTGAAAAACTCATTTTTAAAAGATATTCAATTCTTTTCACTTTTCAGTCAATTTGGAAACAGCAAAAATACGTGTTGTCACTCTGCAGTCGGCGACACTACTGGTTCTGGTGCAGTCCTGCGGTCTACGGTGGCGACGTTCTACTTGCGGTGGCAACAGTGCCGCTCTACTCAACATACAGCTCATAAAAAACCATATGAACCAGTAGGTCTGTCGCTGCGGTTTGCAGTTTACAGTTTGCGGCCGTGTTCGGAATCGTACCTTAAATCCAACTATAATATTTGATTGCGTGAGGGCCAACGGTAGAGATATTTTAGCTATGCTGGGTATGTCGTAAATTGTCATCGTTTTTCCTGGATTATTTCTCATCCAAGAATCGCAACTTGAATTGAAAGCCTTTTTGAAGGGACCGTAGATAGAACGATCCAGAGGTTGCAACTTATGCGAACAGTGCGGGGGAAATGACAAGACGACAATGCCATTTGTTTTACAGAAATCCAAGCAGCGTATACTTATGTGCGACTGGTGGTTATCAAGTAAAAGCAATACTTTATTTTCGGTTGAAGCGTTAGTATGCTTTTGAAAATGATTAAGGTATACCAAGAACTCTTCCTCTTGCATCCACCCGCTCGCGTTTCCCGCTCCAATACACCCCACTGGACCGTCACGGACTAAGTGATCCTTGTATCTTTTTCGTGGAAAAATAAAAATGGGCGGTATACTGTTACCGATAGCATTGACGGCTAAAGCTATGGTCACCAATGTTCCCCTCTCTCCGGATGTAAGTGCTCCCACCTGTCTTGTCCCCTTTTCGGCAACAACTTTACTAGGTTTTTGAACCGTCGTTACCCCCGTTTCATCAATATTAATATATATATATATATAATATATATATATATATATATTATATATTATAACTA